AACCAAATGAGGTAGGGTTAGTTCTCTACTAGGAAAGGAAGTCATCAAATGGTCTCAATGTGGCCAGCAAGGTGAGACTGGTATGCTTTGTGGTCTAGCGTGTTTCTCTGGGTCTGCTATGGGGCAATACTGACTGTTGTACTTCGACTACCCCATTTTCATGAATTGGTGTGCTCTATAGTGAATGTCTTATGTGTAAGTTTGTGTCTACAGAAAAGAAAGAAACCCAGTTTTCTTCTACCATAGTTTCTCTGGCAGAAAATAATTATCTGAGACCATTTTTGAGAGTTTGGGCTGTGTTCTGAAAATGCGACTGAAATGCTTCAACAGTGAAACTTGCCTCAGGTCAGGTGCTTGGATGGGTGTGTACATATGTACATACTGGTAACCTGTATGGGGAAATACTAAGATTTTGCTGATAAAAAAAAGCTTCAGAAAACTGACTTCAAACCATCTACAGATGTTTATGTGAGTGGCAATAATGAGTGAGAACACCCCAAGTAAAACTACATTCTTTCTACACCAGGAAAGAAAGCAAAGCGGTCCTTCTGCTCTTAACTTACATTTTGTCATTTGCCTCAGTTGGGTCTACTCTACAGGTGTTCATTCATACAGGTATGTTGATGTAGGGGTGTGATCCTTGACTGATGTGTCATGACTGTGAAATCATTGGTGTGGTTATAGTTAAACAGGTGAAACTGCTTTTTTTTGTGGTGTTTTTTTTTTTCCAAATTATATTGCAAATTACATTGGTCAGAGGGCCTGGTGTAAACTGTTAGGCAAAGGAGGAATTTTGCCAGTAAAGTTGTCCCTATTCAGGGTATATAAAAACTGTTTTAACAGACTAGCTCTACAAGGAAGCCAGCATCAAACCCTAAATGAAACTGCTTTTAATAATGAAGCAGTAGGACTAATTTTGCCTTTAAAGAAAGAATTGTTTTCACCAGTAACAGATGGCTTTAAAAAAAAAGTAAATTATAAGTACCTTCACAACTTATTATGCCTCTTTTGATATCCCAGAAATCTATACATGTAAAATTGGTATCAGCTGTAGTGCTGCAGTACTAGTGAACTGATCACCACCTGGAATGAACAGTGTTGTATGGAACTGAATTGTGTTCAGATGAAACAATGAAATGACAGAATGAGAAACTTGCTTAAAGCTGATGTTTTGACAGGGGCATAGCTGTAAAGGATGACATTAGAGGCCACAGCAGTAAAAATCTCTGTAAAATGGGTGCAATGAAGTAGGAATTTAATCAGCATGATACCACTGGCTTTCCTTTAGAGTTCTGAAAAGTTTAATGAACTTAACTCTGTGTTTAGCATTTCAGTACTTGATTTTAAGGTACAATCGGTGAAATAAAAGCGTATCTTTTAAGCTACTTGTGTATTCTCAAGCTATCACCAATTTAATGATATTTCTACCTTCAGCTTTCTCTTCTAATACATCTGTTTATAGGTTGTGAGATCCTACTGCATAACTATTGCTAGCAGCATTGGTAAGCAATGCCACCATTGAAAGGGTCTTAAAGAAGACACTCTTCATTACTTTTCCTTTTTTAACCCATGCTATGAAAATGTAGTAATTAAACGAAGTATTTTGCTAATGTACAAGTTGAGTCTCACCAGCTTTGAATTTGACTTAAGCAAAATCTTAGTTTGGACACTTTGTATGCAGATTTCACTGGATTTCTAGAAAAGGTCAATTATGCTTCAGTTAAAGTTAAATAGCTGTGCTTTAACCTAAGCAAAGCTTGTATTAACTTGTGTTGTTAACAGGAATTTATAATTTTTGAATGGTTTGCATTGCTAGGCCAAAATGAACATTTATGATTTTCAGTGAGTATTGAAACATACAACTGGTGTATGTTTTGAAGTTATGAAGCTGAATATAAAATTGCCTTAGAATCCTAGTTAGCAATTAAGAGGACTGAAATTAATTTTTTCATTTGGAAATGAGTTTCATTTAAGTGCAACAAAAATTACTTAAACTTCAGAAGCCTTTCTGAGGTGGTTGCAATGTTGTGATTCTGTTAAAAAACCCAGGCTGTTCTATTGAAATGGACTTGTGTAGCTTTCATAAATGTAGTTGAGTTTTAAGCATGAATTTTGAGATTATTTGTGAACTGAGAGTGAAAATTTCAGGCAACTGTGAATGTGTCTAGAGTTTTGGGAGGACTGCATGATGACCAGCACTTATGTGAAAATTTGAAATATATCTTTTTTGAAGACATACTATAATCTTTTTTAGTGCGGTAAACTAATTACTCCTTTAACTCCTTTGTACTCAGTGTCAACAGGATTAAGCTTAGCCATAGTGTGAAACTTGGTCTCTATTTTAAGCATTTCTTATATTGGAGGAAGAGTTTTCAGGAAAGCGTATGAGTTGAAATAGTTGGAAAGGTAGCAAGGCCTTTTTCAGAGTTTGGGTCACCTTGGTTGTTAGTCAGATCTAAGCTTGGAAATGGGGGATTGAATTGATTTGATGAGTTAATTCTGATGCGTAGGTTCTTTCACTTGTATAATTTCCAGGAGGGCATTTGATGCATTTGAATGAAGCGTGGTTATATTTTGCGGTGCATGTATGTGGGTCTGTGGATGCTTGTATTTGTAGAGGTACTAGCAAGCTGTATGCTTGAAATGCAGAGTAGACTTACTCCATTCCAGGCCTGGTACAACCCTTGGCAGTGTACACAGCTGAGCTGAGCTTGCAGAAAACTGTTCACTGGTTATTAATTATTAATCTGGGGTGCCTCTGTCACCATTTCGCTCTTAAGTGCCTCCCAGAAAACTAACTGTGACGTAACTTTGTACTAGAAACTTGCGCTGTCCTGAAGGCTATAATTTTGTAAATCAAAGCATATGTTTTCAAGATGCAGCTTGCAAGGTTATCAGAATAAAATCAAAGAAATATGTATCAAGATGAATGTAAAGACTTTCTTCTGTAGGACCATCAGTACTTTCACCATGTAGAAGCTCTGTGGGATCTGTGTAGGGCAAAGACATGCAGACAGTAGCTCTGGTGCAGTGGCTGGTGTACACTGGTGTAGGGACTTAAAACTCACTGGGACAGTGGACTCTGAAGCCTGGGGCCTGCCTCTGAATGTGAATAGGAAACTGGTTAGGTTCCCAGAACATGGCTTCCCAGCTCCCAGCTTCAGTAGAAGGATGACTCACAGATTTTCTTGCGTGTTTTGCCAGCTCTGTGAAATCTGTAAACTGTAGTCATAACTGATCAGCATTGCCCAGAACCATGTTCTTCTTGCATATGTTCAGAATGGAGAAAAGTGTCATCAGGTAATACTCTTAAGATGGTGGTAAGTGCAGATTGTCCCATCAGTGCCCGAAATGCTGATTGTAATTACTGATCAGGACACTTGCATTGGGGGCTTTAGAAAAGCTAAGGGAACTTCCTATCCTGCGAAGTACTGAACCTGATTTTACAGAATGTGTCTGAGTAAATATATAAACACAATGCATGCATGGGTAATGTTTGCTGGGACTGAACTGCAGCCCTTGCTGTCTGTCATTTTCGGTGTTCTCATTGATAATTTTAACTCTTCTATGGTGCACTATTTACACTCTTTTCCTTGTCCTCCCTGCAACTGGGACCTTGGTTTTGCTGTTTCTGTGTAAAATTCTCCTTTAGATACCAAAAGCAAAGGCAATATCCAGGAGCTTGTAACTTACTAGTTTCATGTTGTGATTGCTATTGGGAAAGTAATGATATGTGGGCAGTACCATTCAGGAGTCTTGGAGAACAGTGATGGTCAATTGCCATGTAAAATTTTTGAGAGTACTTCTTGAAAAGCCTTGTATTTGATTGAATTGCACAAAGCAAATACTGTGTTCCCTTCAGCCTGATGTTAGTATTCCTCATCCACAGAGAGGGTATTGGCTAGTAATGTGACTGTACTGATTTGGATCCTGCATCTTTTAAAAGTGCCTTGTCAACTTGTTTTTTTGTCTGTGGTGTTTCATTCATCAGTTATATTACTCTTAGCCTTTTTGACCAGTAAAATTTTGTAGTTTGCTGACATCTTCTATGCTTATTCTCCAAATCGTTGCTAGAGAAGACATTGCAAAGTAGTTCAATGAAAATAGAGTTTATATTAAAGGAGTAGAAGGCAAATCATGGAAGTTTGTCACTTTGGCTGTTAATCTACTAGAGATGCTTCGCAGTAAACGGAGTGCATATATGCAACCACACTGTTGGTCTAACCACAAGGACAACATTCCCCCCCAAAATGGAAATGACACCAGGATCTTTAAAATGGCGTAGAACTGTACAAATATGTTCTTTTGATACAGTTAGTTTAACATAATTAGCAGTTGAGAAAACTTAGCAGACCTGTACCTTTTTCTCGGTCTTTTTTACTTTGTAGAAATTTGCACAGTGTTCTTGAGCAAAGTGGTAGTATTTGATGAAATAGATACTCTGACAAAAGGAGTTTGAAGGAAAATAATGTTGTATGGAGTGACAAATTGCAATTTAGCAACAGCATCACCCTTATTGGGTGTGTACTTCAGTGCTTGAAAACACTTTCTGCTTTTAATATGAAGCTTGAAGCATGGCAATTATCCTAAAAGTATGAGGAGGTGTATACTTAACATTTTATCTTCCATGGAAATTGCTATTTTTATAGGAACACTAACAGTGTAAACCCAAGAATTAGTTTAATTCAAATAATTAGGTAATATTGTCTGTACTGAATCTTGGTTTTATAAGGACCCGCATTAAAAAATTGCGTTGTGGGGAATCTGCATGTGCAGACTAACAAAAGGCAGGAAAGTAACAAAGTCAGTGTGCTTCTGGCATGTATAAAAGAAAGGAAGAGAGTATCTTAGATTCCTGGCAAGCCACTGAATATCACGTATACTTCTTACATTCAGAAAAGCATCTAAATTCATGTATTAGCTCTGTTAGACTTAAAAAGAATGATTTATCTGAATGTTGAAATAAAAACTGACTTAATGTACCTTCTTCTTGTAGGTGGTTTTGCTTTTGTGTATGAAGCTCAGGATCTTGGAAGTGGCAAAGATTATGCTTTGAAGGTAAAATGAATTTACTTCACTACAGATTTATAAGGTCTGTCTTTTTGCTTGATGCTTTAACATGACAGTTAGTCCTTGATGTACGCCACTGAACAAGTCATTTGGAAAAATCCACAATGATGAAGTGGTGTTTGTAGCACACTGTACTTATATTTAGAGTCGTCATTCCTTTTAGAACCCTGCATTTTATACTTAGATGTCAAAGATGGGAATTGCTCTGTTAGGTACTACTGCTGTTTGTCTTCATTTGGTCTAGAAATTCATTACCCTGCCCCAAGCATTTTGTTGCATGGGTAAAAAGAATCTTCCCTACTTACCTGAAGTGGCGTACAGGATTTTTTCACCCCTCAGAAGCAGATTTAGCCTGGTGGTTAGCATACCTTTATACTTCCAGAGTAAGTTTCATCAGTATTAAAAATAATGTTCCACAGTTTGACTCGTTGATCAAACATTCAGCCTCGTGCTTTTCAGAGACACTCTGCTGGATTATTGTTTTCTGAAGGCTTCTAATAGTTATGTAACAGCTGAAAAACTGAAGTCTTATGGAAAGGACAATAAAGTGAAGTCATTTACTTTGCCGTATTTTGCTGCTAAAAAAGTCATGGCACTTGTGTTCACTACAAAATAACTTCATTTTTGGAGTAGGGTTGTTATGTGGCTGTATCAGTGCAAAGACATCCATCTTGAAGAGAAAGTGAGAAGACTAGTAGTCTAAAAGGGTGGGAGAGATAAGATGGCATTATACCACTGGTAATGACTTGGACTGGTTTTTGACTTTCATACCACACGCTACAGTAACAAAACATGTGACCAAACCCATATAGTGTGTTCAAAATGTCATCCAGAAGTAGCCTCATTTAAAATAACAGATGGAAGGTGAACCATTACTGTACTCCCTCTGTTTTGTAAGACTGGTGGCTTGTAGCAAATGCTCAGATTGATTCTAGGCAAATGTTGACTCAATACGAGCAATACGGAAATAGCAATGCTTAATTTTACTGCTGATTACTTGGGTACCATTGAAAAAGTTGGGCTATGTAATTTGGAATAAGTTTTATTTGGAGTGGGTTGAAGATTGTTACAAATTATTTGACGTGAAAGATGAATCTTTTCTTGTCAGGGCATAATTCTGTAGCCAGGAGACTTCAGTGTTTTATGCAACAGAAAACTATCAGAGCAGTTACTTTACGAGTGTCAAAAGTTATGATGGCTCACTTATTGCTAAACCTGAACAGTACAGGTAGCTGAAAAACTGGGTGTCGTATTTATGGCAGTATGTACAAATGTACAATAAGCCCACTTTTTTTACTGTCCCATCACAGTTCCTTTGGTTTTTGACTATAAGTTATCCTTTGTGTTTTGGAAAAAAAATCTGTGCACTGTTTTTCTGTAAGTTATAATAACTATATCTTAATTATTCTGTTTTCTGATAGCGATTGTTGTCTAATGAAGAAGAAAAGAACAAAGCCATCATTCAGGAAGTTTGTTTTATGGTATCCTTTTCTGGAACATATTTTTATGTTTGATATTAGGCAATTTAATGGAAACATTTCTGAGAAACAGAGGACTGCTTTACAGTTTCAGTTATTCCTATGCCATACACTGCTTAAGAGGACTGACATTCTGAGGAAGGTCTGGGTTCCTGGTTTGTCATGAGTCTGGCACCAACATCCAGCAAGTTTAGTTATTCAAAAATTACGGGAATTTAATGTGTGCAGATAACTTTTGTAGCTAGTGTAGATTTTGTCATGTACTCTGTCTAGCAAGAAATGAAATTCTTATTTGGGCTTTCTTGCAGTCCTGTGACTGTGGTCAAAAGACCTTTCGTCTATTCAGATGATACTTAGATCTTAAGTAGACTTCCCTCACGTGCACTGGGTTTATTGCCTTTTTGACTACACAAAACTTTGCTTGTACTCTCAATGTTTCTTAATTTCTGCCTCAGATGCATCTGGCGTTAAAAAGTAATACTGAATATTAAAGGAGGGAATTTGAGTAGAATCATAGAATCACAGAATAGTTGGGGTTGGAAGGGCCATTTAAAGGTCATCTAGTCCAAACCCCCTGCAATGAGCAGGGACGTCTTCAACTAGACCAGGTTGTTCAGAGCCCCGTCCAACCTGACCTGGAATGTTTCCAGGGATGGGGCATCTACCACCTCTCTGGGCAACCTGTGCCAGTGTTTCACCACCCTCATGGTGAAAAATTTCTTCCTTAGATCTAGTCTAAACATACCCTCTTCAGTTTAAAACCATTACCCCGTGTCCTATCACAAAAGGCCCTGCTAAAAAGTCTGTCCCCATATTTCTTATAAGCTCCTCTTTAAGTACTGAAAGGACTTAAGAATACATACATCAGAAGCAGGAAGCAGATGTTTCTCAGTGTCGTTGCTGTCCTTTTTGTCTTCAGTGATGTTAGATGGTAGGTTATAATGTAATCTCAGAGTGTTTTCAGTTTTTGGCTTTAGTAGACTCAGTATTTGCTCCCCAGCACCTGCTCTAAGACCCTCAGTTTGTTTCAAGAGTCAGTGAGAAGCTGTGGTATGCTGTTTTGTTTTCCACTCCGACTATTCAGCTTCATTTTGAGTTACGAGGCAAAACCACTGATCTTCATTTAAGCTACTCACGTATTTCTTTTTATGATTACTGGCTTGTTGAGCAAAATCTTACACTAAAAACTGTTCACTAGATGTACACTTGCAAAGAACGGACTACCATAGCGCTATACATTTTCTAGCTACTCTGACTACATCTTGCCAGGAGTGAAGAACTGCATGTTCTTTGGATGTTTTTTCACAACTGAGGTTCATTAAAGCATATGTACGACATGAATGAGGGTTAACTGTTGCTAATGTACCAAGATATAACTGTGAAACTGAATTAATTCCTGCAGCTCTGAGAAAAAGGTTGTGAAGAGATGCATAAGGTGTAAAACAGTACTTTGGATTCATTCTAATCTAGTGGATCCAGCTTGCCCTTTTTTTGTAGCTTTGCTATACTTATGATGTCTTTTTCTTTTCAGACTTGGTGAATGCATCTTGTAAATAGTGTGTATTTGTCTCATAGGCATGAGTCTTAGTATATGAGCACAGTGATACACATCAGGGCAACACAAATAGGCATGATGCAATGTAACTTCCAGGCAGGGAACTTACATTTTACTCTCCTTCACATAGTTCAAAAAAATGATACCTTGGATTTTTTAACTGGAAGTGAAACATGACAAAGGTTTAGTATGAAGCGTTTTTACTAATGATGGCAGGATAAGTAAGTCCTTGCTCTTTTAGAGCTTTTATTTGTTTTGAATTTTATTTTAATTACTGAAATTGAAGCATAACATACTTGCTTTGAAAATATAGGTGTTGATTCCATAGCCCTTTTTTGATCAGCCAGCTCGAGAAGCAGCTGATAATTAAAAGGTCTCTCTGCTACTTGTGTAATGCCTTGCAGTCATTGTCAAAAAACAAAATAAAGTAACTAGACCTGTTATGAAGTCCAGTTTCCTCAGAGCCTTAATCACAAGGATTTTTTAAAAATGTTTTGACTTTTCGTTATATTACTTTCAGTGGCTTCTTTTAAGTCTGTTTTTTTCAGCTGAGGCATGGTTTCCCTGTTCTGCTTAGTATTTTAATTGCAGTTGTAATGCTTTTTGTGGTTTTAAGCTAACATTGCAAATGAGATGTCTGTGAACTGCTGTATAAAATAGTATGAATAAACTTGGCAGTCATCTTCCTTGAACATGTTATCTCCAGAAAAAACTTTCAGGTCATCCAAACATTGTCCAGTTCTGCTCTGCTGCATCTATAGGAAAAGAAGAATCGGACACGGGACAGGCAGAGTTTCTTCTGCTTACGGAGCTGTGTAAAGGTAAACTTTATTTCTTTTCCAGCAGTGCATGTTGCTTCTGACAGCTGTTTTGCACAGGGTGCTTCACAGCTTAGAAGCTTTGAAAGCCTCTTAAAGGTAGCATAGTTCAGTGGAGGTAGATTTCAGCTTCATCTTTTATAGGATAAGCATCAAGTTCTTTGAGGCTGAAGTTCAACTTCATCTTAAATATGGGATAATCATTAAGTTCTTTGTTTGAGACTACTCAGAGGAAAAAAGGAGGAATAGTTCCTTAGAACACCATTTTCTTTGGCACTGCAGTCGGTGTGGATTTGCCATTTTCAGAAGATCCATCTAATATTACAACTCAAGGCTATAAATGTTCCTTGATAAGAAGAGTGTCTATTCATGCCAAGCTTTCAGTATTTGTGGTCTTCTGTGTGCACTTATGTGAATTTCTTTGATTTTCTGCAGGACAGCTGGTGGAATTCTTAAAGAAAGTAGAATCCAAAGGACCTATCTCCTGTGACACAGTTTTGAAGATCTTTTATCAAACCTGCAGAGCAGTGCAGCATATGCATAAACAGAAGCCTCCAATTATCCATAGAGATTTAAAGGTGTGTTACAATATTTATTTAAATGCTGAATTTTTACAATTCTTTCTTACTACAATCAGGAGCCAAACAGGGATCAGTTAGTGATGCTGCCCTTCCCAGAAGGATGAACTTAGATCAGCAGCATAAAAACCTGTAGGTCAGAGTTTTGAGCCAACCTCAAAGGAGACCTGAGATGCTAGTGTAGCTTTTTTTGGCGGGTGGGTTGGCTGGGGGGGACACACAGGCAGGCAGTAGAGTGGAGTCCTGACAGGTTTTTCTCAATTATTTTGACTAAAAGTATAAGGATTTGTGAACTTCTAACAGTGCAGCTTCCGAACAAGTTCACCTTCGTAGTGGTGGCTGCTTCTGTCTTCCTGTGGTTTCCTTTTCTTGCTTGTCAGTGTAGTTCATTCTTGTTCCTGAACCCCTTTGGATGAAGTTCTCACTTAAAATGCGTCTAATCAGCACTGGAAGAAACCAGCTAGTTAGAGTTGTAAAAATTCTAAGCAAGTTAGAGGGTGATTTGTAAAACAGCAGTGCTTCTCTGACATTTTAATTGTCTGAATTTGATCTTTTCAGGATTTGCCATGCAGCACACAGCTAGTCTGTATAACACAGGTTGTAGTGCCTGTTAAAATCTGAATAATCAGATGGAATGTTTTACATTATTAGCAACCTTTACCAAAGCACAAAAACAGAACATATGTGCACAGAAGCTTGATCTCTGGTCCTGCTGTGACCATTTTTAGTGTATAAATTTAAATTGGTGTTGAATGCCCACCCCTCTTATTGTATATGAAGATAAGCAAAGGTTATCCAACAGAGAAGGGAATTCAGATTGCTTATTGAGATTGTTACTCTAACCATATCATTAACAGAGCTTACGTCTTCCTGTAGGTTAATCAAAATTACTTTTATGGTGGAAGAAGTTGGAAGGGGCATGTGTAAGGGAGGCTAGTAGGCTGTTCTGAAAACAGGTTTTGCAGAAGAAAGTCCAGAAATGTTACGGTTTCAAAGGGAAAGGGGAGACAAACCTAGTTAACTGAAGTGTGGTGTTATAACGTTATTCATTTGCCTCTTAACTTTTACACCTTTTCCTGACTTCATACAGAGATAAAAATTTTCAGCCTTTTGTGGTTATGACCCCACAATACTTCTGCCCAATACCTACTTTTACCCTCCCCTTAAGTTTCTTCCCCATTTTACTTAGCAATCCAGTTTGGATTTTATGAAGTAGAAAAATGAACTATTCAGGCAGCACATGGTCCTCAAATAGCTGGTTTCTGTCTCTGCCCAGGGTCACGGCACCTCTTTCTGTGTGTCTCCTGGCAGCCTGCTTCTCTACTAGTACCTTCCTGTTTTGCATCTACAGCAGTTCTAACCTCCAGTCCGCTGCAATTAAGCTAACAGTGTTCAGTTTTATGCATGAAGATACTTGGATTCCAAGATAACTGCTTCTGCAAGTGGTCTTCTGAAAAACTGGCCTCTTAGACATCAAAGAAATTATTTTTTTTTTTTCTCCCTGCGGTTTATTTCTTGTTCTCTTGAATGTTTCCTGCTTGTAGTGTTTTTGGTGCTTCCTTTTAAAAATTGGCTGTATTACTACCATATACTTCTACAGTACTCTCTGAAATCTTTGTGTTCCTATAAACAATATTATGGGCTAAAGTGAGTATTTTTATATATATGCACAAATGAGTTGATGTTTAAAAGCATGTATGTTAGTGTACAGAAAAAAGACATTTTTACATTATTCTTCTACCTTTTTTTGAAGGTGGAAAACTTGCTTATTAGTAACCAAGGGACGATTAAACTTTGTGATTTCGGTAGTGCTACGACTATAGCTTACTATCCTGACTACAACTGGTCTGCACAAAAAAGAGCACTGGTTGAAGAAGAGGTGAGACTATTTTAATGTGATTAATCTTAATATCAACAATGGAGTCATTTAACTGTTAATATTAATGTGATATTGATTCATGGGACTTCCAAGATGACTGAAGATTTTCAGTTGTGGTGTTGTTTCTAAAGCTTTACTTTTGTATTTGTGTTGCCAGAGTTCAGACACTGTCTGCAGTTATCAGAGCTTGTGTTTTGTAGCTGCGTATACCAATGCTGCTTCAACTTGAGCAGTGTCCATTCTGCAATCTGGTGTGAAAATAGAAATGTTTACTAGAGCTTCTTCTAATTGCACTCTTGACAAGAAGTAAAAAAATTGGTTATGTCAAAGTGACTCCTACCTTCTCATCTGTTTTTCTCAGTTGAATGATACATAAAGAAGCAGCAGGTCCGCTCAGCGGAATTTGAATAGGCAGTATTGCAATGCCTTTAGGACTGCAGTGACAGTGTCAAGCATGCAGTGTGTTTTTGCAAAGTGTGTTTGTTCTTAGTTAAGAGTTGAGAGCAATGCTGGTAGATCTAATCTAATACATCAACTAGACTCAGACTTGTAAGTATAGAGAAATAGTGACACTTAAAATTCATGTGTGCCACTTCTGATATCATGAGTCTTTAAACTCCACCCGTGTTGGAATCCAGCATCCTTGGAGAGCAAGCCATGGGTTTTTGGAGAAGAAAAGATGGTGTTATACCACTGCCTTGTATATTCTATGCAAAAATATGGTAGAAAAAGTCTCTTCTCCTTGTGAACATAGCTTAACTCTTTGGATGTGTTTGCACTGTCATTAAGTGTGATGAGGAAGTCAGAAATACACACCGGAGCATGAATTAAGTTTTTGGTTTATTGCGGATTTTCTGTATTTGTGTTCATATTCCTCTTTGCCTCATGTAGAACAGTAATTTTATTTTACATGCTTTGTGGTTTGGAAGGACTCGAATATCACAATGTTACTTATTTGAGTACTACCCATCTTTATCCAGCCTTATATCAAAGCTGTTGTGACTATTGCAGGATTCAATTGATGGCTTCTGCCTTGACAAGTATTTCTGAAATTAATTTTCGAAGTGAGAATGCTATCCATTCTTCATGGAGAGCTGTTTCCTTGGTTGAATTATTCAAGTTTCTGTTTCAAGAAATTCTGTTTTCTGTAGATCACAAGGAATACAACGCCATTGTACAGGACACCAGAAATGATAGACTTGTATTCAAATTTCCCAATTGGTGAAAAACAGGATATTTGGGTAAGAAATTTTTCTCTTGCTGTATTGTAGCTTCTTATGTCATAGTGAAACTGATTTTGCAGTCTTCATGTTAATTTGTTGATTAAATAAATAAAAGCACCAAAACAAACATAGGATAGACTGTCTTATGTCAAAATAAACTTAAATGGTATGAACTGTGTATCTAAATATTAAAAAGAATGAGATGCAGTATTTGAGGTTTTCTCCCAGATCTAACTTGACTTCCACTGTGAGAGGCAATGCTAAATTTCTTTGACATTCAGTAGAATGTCAAAGATGAAACTGTTACCTAGCTTGATCTTGCCACCCTAGGGACAGAATACTTACAGTCCGTAGGTTCCCATTCTTGCCTTTCACACTCTGCCATGCATGTAATCCTGGGACAGCCTATTACTGAGTTGCAAATGGCTATGTCTAGGTATTGTGTCTGAATAAAATACTTACAGATAGCAAGGATGAGAACAACCCAGAGATCATTCATGCTTTGAAAGAATGATAAACTGTTAACATTCACTAAAAATCTGTAGCCAGAATTAAAGCTAAATATTAAATCCTCATTTGTAGCTTTTTCAGTTGTGTAATACTGCAGTAGTATTGAGGTACTGCCCAGTGATTTGTGCTTAGGGACTAAGTTTAGTGGATGTTTTTTAGAGGCAGATGTCAAGCTGTTTGGCTGTTACGTACGTTGGCAGTGTGTCAAAGGACAAATTGAGAAAATGTAATACTGGTACGTCAAAAGTTTTTCTTTTGAGTCTCAGAACGTCATTCAATTTCTTAATTTAGTTATAAGATATTGTGGAAACTCTTATTCAGCTTCTACAGCTGTTGGCGACTTTCCTCTGACATTTGAAGAAACACCAAGAAAAATACATTTTTCTGACCGTTTGGTCATTTCACATGTGTTAAATACTGTCAGTCTCTGGCAAGATTACATCCAGTTAAACACAAAGCTAGAAATGCATTTAACAAAAGCTTCACTCAAAAGCGCAGTTGCAATTTATTTTTTGTTTAGAATAACTGTCTGTTAGTGTTAACATGGTGGTTGTCTCCTCCTGTGTCTTTGGAAGATCTGTGCCATTTACCATACCTTTGTTGGAACATGTTTTGTGTTTTTTTCCTTTACACTCTGGGTTCAATGAAAACATGCAAAGTATTTGGCAATAGAATATGGCACTGTGTCAGGAAGCATAACTGATACTCTAGTTTGTGGTTAGGATAAACAAAACAGTTTTCTGAAGAAAGCAAGTAGGGTGAGTAACACTCATGGTTGCGGTCTGTGTGCTTGTGACTGCGAGCGTAAAAGCATAATGGAGATAAAAATGTCGTAGAACAGCAGCATAGATGAAACATTAGTTATCAACCACATAGACTCCACAATGGGAGTGCAATTTAGATATTGATTGTAAGATCAGAGGTTTTTAGGCTTGGCCAGCTGCTTTCTGTACATTTCCTGCCTAAGTCTAGAGATTGTCAGAAAATAAACACAAATACCTTTGTTCCCCATTTCTGGATTTAATGCGATTTCCTGAACTGAAATTCTCCATTGAAATTATCTTTTGGCTTGGAAGGGCCTTCACATGCTCCTACTCTTACAAATTTCTGAAAAAGCAGAATAGTGGGCTTTGGAATATGTTTGTTAAGGAGCAAAATTTCAAAGGTGGGTTGTCCTTACCAGTATCTTATGAAAAATTTTTCTAGTCAGTACAAGACATCTTGCAGATTTTAATTCTGTGTGAGCTTGAATGATCTCTTTAGATTTCATGTAGTTTAATTCTGTTCAGAAAGTACTTTGGTGTAATACCTGTGTGTCATCCTGCAGCTATACTGTAGAACTTTTCATCATTTGAAGTGTGCTGCATATTGCCTGAAGCTGGTCAGTGGAAAAATAAGAGCATTCTGATTTGTTTCAGACAATCACCCCCACCCCCCAAACACTACCACAACCTGCCCAAAACTCCACTGTCGTTTTACGAGAAGGTTAAAGTAGCTGCTGGTAAAGACCCAGTAGCAAGTCAAAAAGTTCTTAGTCATTTTTGGCCACTTTGTTATGCTGCTTTTTTACCTTCTGGCATGTGAGTGCACAGACTGAACCAGGCAGCTTCTGTAGAGGGACTGTCTGCAGCTTCAGGGCAATGTTGTGGGGAAATGGCTCTTCTCTTAAATGTATCCATGCTGAGGCTATGTGAATGGTGTTTGCTTTGAGGAATTGCCTTGCTGCAACCAGAATGGCTGTTTAGACAAATTGAATCATAATTGGTGTTTAAAATATTCAGAATATATTACTGTTACAATCCAAAGTTACAGATAAAGCAGAGGGGAATGAAAAACATTCTGTAGCAATTAAAGCAAAGAACAAATCTAAGTGCTCTCTTCTTTTCCTGTGTGTTCAGCTGATTGCCTTTGTGGTCTTCTCCTGTGTGTGGCTGTGGATGCTGTCTTCTGATGTGCTTGGTGTCTCAGACTGCAGAGGGTGTAGTTTCATTCCTCCAACGAAGTTATGATCTGCCTTCTTTGTAAACGGGCATTTCTGTGGCAGAGTAGCTGATATTTCCTGTACTCCCCTGCTGGATTAATTAATGTGGACTGTATGATGCTTCAGTGTGTACATGACACAGTTTTTTATCAACAGACTGACAAAAATGTACTTGCCTTACAATAATACAGAATTAATATATGCAGTTTATTTCTGGCCTTGGATTGAGAGACTCGGTATGTGTTTTAGAGTAACTAAATCTCAAACCTTTGAGACTTCAAATCTTTGAAACTGTTCTTGGCATAAATTGTCAACCAAGGAAGGTTGGAGACAGCGCATGCAGAGGACTGGAGGCAGTGAGCAGATTTCTTAGCTAATGTCTTCACTGGCTTGTTTTGTTTGTGGAGGCTATAAAAGCCTGTATGATCAAGCAACTAAGCTGGGGTTCAGAAGAAACTTTGAGGAGGAATTTTCCAGTGTGTTGTGCAAACATTTTCTTGGAGGTATTGGATGCTTTGTCATCAAACTTTAGTAGGCCAGATAGAACGTGGTTCTACTATAGTAGCATAACTCTGCCAGTGTTTCATATTTTAACTGATACGAAAAAATATATGTGAACTTACATTTACTTAAGTAACAGGTGAAATTATTCTAACTGATCCATAACACCTGGTCTATTCAGAGATTAGAATTCAAAACTGACTTCTGGTTTTGGTGGTTTTTGCCTTGTCAGGTTGCACAGGTCTCAAGTCTCAAATCCTGTTCTTGAACATATCTGGTGTTACAAGACTACTTATTTTTGTATATTGTGAAAATCATAAAATGGATTTATTCTAATGATTTTTTTAAAAAGACAGGAATAGGAGAATCCCTGAAACTGAAAATTTCCATGAAAGGGGAAAAAACTACCACAAATCTATTTAGGAGCAGTATTGCTGCTTGGACCTCTCTAATTGACATGCCAAGTGTTCTGTCCTCAGAGAAACATCAAGAATAATTATTTCTAAAAGAGTGTGAAGCTGATCTCCAAAGCCCTGGGAATATATAGAGTTGCATGAATCAGCGTTGATGATTGAAACCTGCGATTTGCAAGCAGTATTAGGAAACTTAATTTCATAGTCTAAAATTCTGCTTTAAATATCACTGCCTTGAATTAAAGATAGTACAAACAAGAAGAATCAGCCAATGGGTTCATGAATCGGAAAATTTGGATTTATAAACTTTTTTCAGTCTTTAGTAAGTTTTAGACTAAGAAGGTGGGTGCTAGAGAGCTCCTTTTGTCCACAGCTGTGGGGACCTTCCAACTTCCTGTAGGACCATGGTGCTATCTATCAAAGGATATGGGATAAGGTGTAGAGGTACAGCATAAGGTGTTTCTTTATCCTTGGGTCAATATCCTTGTATAAAATTGCAACACACCTTTGAGTCGTGGAGGAGGAAGAGGACAGAAGTATGCCATGGTCTGCTTGTGTCCCTGTCTGGGACTGTAACTGTCAGACTCCTGACATCAAGTAAGGCAGCCACCCTCTGTTGGTGGTGAGGGTGGCTGCCTCCATGCCTGGGGCTCTCCCAGCCTCATACCAAGCTTGTCCATTCCATGCCTCCCTGATGGCCAGGAAACACCCATCCTGGCCCAAAAATGCTGGCCACCACCAGTATTCTGCCCACTGATACAGCCGTTACAACACTAGGGCTAGTGCCAGGAGCTCAGTCCCAGGATACCCACTGAAAAAGGGCAGAGAGCTCCCTGGGCCTGTGGCTTTGGGGAGCTTCCAGCTCCCTGTAAGACCACAGTGGGGCAGGAGTTGGTGTTATCAGTACTGTAGACTGCTAACAACTCTCCAGCACAGTGGCACAGGAGGAAGTGGACGGGAGTGTGCTGTGGTCTGTTTGTTTCCCTGTCTGGACATTCAACTGTAGTACAAAGCAGCCACTTTGTCACCACTGGCAGCCCCTGCCACTGTGCCCTCCCCTCCCTACCCTTGCTTACCTGGCTGCTCATCAGCGTGCCTGGGCTGGCACAGCCCTTTTTATACCCATCCTGAGCTGCTGGTGTCACGAGCTACCAATGTTCTACTTGCTGTGACACCACCGTGACATCTGTATACTGCTCATTGGGTAAAAAAATGGATGGATGGCTGGGCCCAAATAATTGTGGTAAATGGAGTTAAATCCAGTTGGTGGCCAGTCACAAGTGTGTTCCCCAGGGCTCAGTGCTGGGGCCAGTTCTGTTTTAATGTCTTCATCTATGACCTGGATGAGGGGATCGAGTACACGCTCTGTCAGTTTGCAGAAAACACCAAGTTGGGTGGGAGTATTGATCTGCTTGAGGGTAGGAAGGCTCTACAGAGGGTTCTGGCCAGGCTGGGTTGATGAGCTGAGGCCAGCTGTATGAGGTTCAACAAAGCTAAGTGTTGAGTCCTGCACTTGGGTCATAACAACTTTGGGGAAGAGTGGCTGGAAAGATGCCTGGTGGAAAAGGACCTGGGGGTGTTGGTCAACAGCTGACTGAATATAAGCTGGTGGTGTGTCCAGGTGACCAGGAAGGCCAATAGCATCCTGGCTTGTATCAGCCAGGCCTGTATGGCCAACAGGACTAGGGAATAAGAGCAGCAAAGCTGGTGAAGGGCCTGGAGCATAGGTTCTGTGAGGAGCGGCTGAGGAAACTGGGATTGTTTAGCTTGGAGAGAAGGAGGCTGAGGGGAGATCTTACTGCTCTCTACAACCTGAAAGGAGATTGTGGTGAGGTGGCTTTTGGTCTCTTCTCCCAAGTAACAAGCAACAGGACAAGACGAAATGGCTTCACGTTGTTCCAGGGGAGGGTTAGATTGGGTATTAGGAAAAATGTCTTTACTGAAAGAGTGGTCAAACATTGGAACAGGCTGCCCAGGAAAGTGGTTGAGTCACCATCCCTGGACGTATTTAAAAGATGTGTAGACGTGGTGCTTAGGGACATGGTTTAGTGGTGGACTTGTCAGCATTAGGTTAACAGTTGGACTCTATGATCTTAAGGGTTTTTCCAACCTAAATGATTTTGAGATTCTATGAAATATTTCTGCCTTTATCTCTGTGTAGGCTCTGGGCTGTATCCTGTACTTGCTGTGCTTTAGACAACATCCATTTGAAGATGGAGCTAAACTTCGCATAGTCAATGGAAAATATGTCATGCCACAAAATGACACCTGCTATTCTGTGTTTCATGATCTCATTCGTAAGTTTACCATGTTATTTAATTTGATGTCTTTATGGATACATCTCACTATTGACGATGTCGTATTACCGATAGTTAAATGTTATTGGTATGTGATGGGGCAAAAGGTTAACTGCAGCAGCTGTCTTGTTTTATTAAAAATTTAATCCATTGTCAAAAAACTTGAAAAGTTTAGATGAAACTTTGGGTTTTTTAGTGCTGTTCCTTGTCTTGCTTAGGATCTGAATTAGACCATAGGAACAACTAGTGTTTTGATCTGATTTCTTTGAATTTGCTTTAGAGATTATATTCTTTAAATTTCAAATAGATTACTGGTAACTTTAATTTCAGTGCCAGAAATATGTCTACAGCTCCAACAGTATTAGATATAAACTTACTTCCGAGCTAATTCATTAATTAACTCTAAAGTGTATTCTTTGAAATATAGTAATACCTGTTATGACAGTGATATTTGGATGTGGATTTAGCAGTTGCTCTACTCTGTTAATGCGTTTGATAGCTTGTTGCTGGAGTCCTCTGAAGAAATGACTAATCTTTCCTCCAAGAAAAGCTCTGAAGGGTTTCTGTTACGTTGTCTGAATCTCCTTTTTTAGGCTCCACTTTGAAGGTGAACCCAGAGGAGAGATTGTCAATCAGTGAACTTGTGAATCAACTGCAGGAGATTGCAGCAGCTAGGAATGTGAATCCTAAATCCCCCATCACAGAGGTAAAGATTGTCTCATAAGGAGTATTACTGATTAGGTCTCCTTTCTCTCCTCTCTTACCCAGTGACTGTGAGTTTAGTAGCAGATGTCAGAGCAGGTCCCCTGTTCCTTAGTTTTTTGAAAATTTCACACTAACTTGTTTTCAAATTCACTTCAGTTTATCAGTGTCACTTGTAGGATCTTTGAAAGTAGGCCTTTTAGAGCACAGAGCTTGCATGATATTAAAGGAATCTAGTTGTTCTTAACTGCTTGTTGAAAAACTTCTCATGACCTTGGATCACTCTTTAGAATGCAGGTGCTGTTCGACATGTTCTATCTAATCATAGTTAACTTGCACAAAAAAAAAATCTAGTATAGGAAGGCACTGCCTACACTGATGTGAAACCCACTGAGGTGTCTTCTGTTTGCTTAATTTGTAAAATACTTCAAGTGAATCACTTAGTGCGTCTTAACTTCCTGGCTTTCTCCTGAGATTCAGCTTGCTTGTTCTCACCAAGTAAAAGTAATTTACAAAGCATAACAAGTTGGCTAAATTGGCAAGAAAATACTCATGGTGAGTATTAATCTCCTCAGCTCCTGGAGCAAAATGGAGGCTATGGGAACAATGCTCAGCCTCGGTCATCTGTGACTTCCATTTTACAGAGCTCGAAGCCAGCAGGACAGCTCAACAATATGTACAATGCAGGTAAGTGCAGAAAGAAACAGCAGAAAGAAACATCATCTTAGCGTAAAACCAACTGCATATGTTGTACGTGTGCAAAAAAAATCATTTTGGCATTTTAGACATTTTGCACAATTACTAGCTATTTTGCATTTATATCACTGTTTCTAACCTTCTTTTATTTTTTGCAGGGTTTGAATGTATATTGATACATGCAAATGTGAATTTCTCAAGGTCATTGCTGGGCAAGATAAATTGGGTTTCCTATGTAAAGCAATTGAAATCAAAATGCATTACTGACCTGTAGAGGTGGGAGAGTTGAAACAAGTGAACTTAAACTTAATGAAAGTGGTGGACACAATAAACAATAATGCTCCTAAGAACAGGAGCTGTAGATAAAGTAGTCTTCATATTATGACAAATGAATAAAAATTGCTTATTTTAAACCAAAAACTTTCTGATTCAATGAGGCAACTATACTTGAAAGTGTCTTGCGCAAAGAGGAGAATTTAAGAGGAATTTAAATTTAACTGTTAAAAATCTCAGAAGTGCTGTTTTTTAACTGAAACCTTGTTACTTTGTGGCAGAAGTTACTGCAATTAGTACATATCCTGAGTTTGTGCACAATATTGGATCCTTGGTGTAAGAAAGTGACAGTCGTCTTTTGCTTTCCAAGGGCTACTTACATCAGATACGTTACAGCTTAAAAAGATAGTAGCCATTCTGTGGCTTTTGGTATAACTTTATGCTTGGTCTTTTTGGTGTCTAATGGCTGAGGTAGGCCAATAAATGCAGAAGCACTTGCGGGGATTTTGACTATGGACCAGAGTAATTCATTAATACTAAGGAGTTACTGACCTGACATGTATTTATTTTAGCCTGTGAGAAGCCTGTAGGAGGAAGAAATGCTTCTGTAAGCATCTGGGGTTCACCTCTCCCTCCTCTCTCCCCCCAAAAAAGACTTCTGGTCCCCTTTTTGATAGTTTGAAGTGCATTGAACAGAGTGATCATAGTCTAAAGCTGTTTAGTTTCGTCACTTCCAAAAGACTCATGTCTGACAGCCTCAAAAGGAAAAAGCAGCAGCCTAAACTCAGTTTATTTGTTATCCAGTCAGAGGAGTTGTGGTTCTATGTGAGGAAAAACAGTAGTTGGACTGGAACTACTAAATTGTGTCAACTAAAACACATCTCATGACACAATTAAAAGCTGACATACCCATTCTGTAAAAATAGGTATTCCAGAGTTCATTCAGTTGAAAATATTTGCACTTAATAAAGAAAATGAGAAACTTGATACTTACTTGCATCTAATTTCTTATTAAAAGATAATTTCTGCATCCATCTTATCATATATCACATGTGAATATGGAACATTACAATTCATGTAGAAGGTATCAAGGGAATATTTCATATTGTATTCAATTTTCCTTCCAGCTTGATATTTCTTACTTGACATTACTTATGCTGAATTGGCAGTGAGACAGGGGATATTAATGTTTCAGGGAAACTTTTAGGATGGGGTAATATTTATTGCAGTAATGTTATCTGTATATCAATTTCCTTGGAAGAATCCAGCTTCCTAATAGGATTATAATCAAAAGGCTCTCTGGCCATCTGCTTTGTGCAAGAATGAGTACTGTTTGTTATATACAGTCGTGTTAATAGGGATGTTATGCTGGGATGCTGTGCTATCTGGGGATGTTGTGCTTAGAAAGTAACTGAATTAGGCCAGCTGCTTCTGAAACCCTGCACTGAAATGTCTCTGCTGGGGATGCTTAAGTAGATTTGCTAATGATAAGCTGCACTTTGAGAGTGATACTAAAAAAAGACAGTAATCTGCTGCACTGGCAATATGAAATAAATGCTTTACTTTCAGAATTTTTTTACCTTATTTTCTCTTAAATGCAAACAATCAATTAAACAAGTGTTAAGTAATTTACTTTGTGACCGCAGGAAGTACTATTTTTTTGCACGGGTCATAGTTAACGAGAACTTTAGAACTGTGAGCAAGGCATAGCCTGTATGTGCATTCACTTCCAGCTGCTTAGGCAACTTGCTTTAGTATGGAGCCCATTCCAGGATATGACTTAAAGTACAATTATTTTTATTCGACTACTCTAGGCCTGACCGTTGCGGAATGTGACCAGACTTATGGAGGGTTCTTTGATATTCTGAGGGGTGGAACAGAGCGATTTTTCACTAATATTAAGGATACATCTTCTAAAGTTATCCAGTCTGTGTCCAAGTGAGTAAAAAAAAAAAAAAAAAAAAAAAAAATATTAAAATTGTGCTGGTAAAAGTTCTAAATGAAAGATGAGGAGCTTATTCCAGAAATGATAAAATTCAGCATACTTTTCCAAGTATGAGCTCTGATAGCTGGTAGCTAGCCCTGAAGTTTTGTGAATGATAGTAATATAAAAGTTACTTTAGTAATCATGTACTAGAAATGAGAATTTTGGGGGCAGAAGCCTGTCCATAGGTACTACTTTCCCTGCTGTATTTTAGATTCTGAAAGCTTGGGCGAGATGAGCAGGTGGGGGCTGGAACAGGGTGGAGAGATATGGACTAGGGCTTGCATGGTTCAGAATGAATGAATTGACTTAGTAGATAGGGCCTCCATGAATAAGAGAGGAAGAAAAAGGTTGGAGTGGTGAACAGTACAAATAAAGGGAAAGGAGGTGAGAAGAAAAACTGCAGGGAAATAATGTATGAGCTCTTCTGCAGTTTAGTTTTCAGGTGGAATCCTATGCCCTCAAGGCAAAGCGAGAGGATCTGCAGTGTTTGTCTCCTTTGCCCTGCATTACTTGGAAGAATACTCCCCTGTTTTTATGTATGTGTTCTCAGATACCTAGTGTGTGATTCTTTTCATCAGATTTTCAGTCCCATTCCAAATGCTTCTAGTACCTTTATATGATCAATATTAATCAGTCTCTGATTCATAGATTTTTAACTCATAATAAAATTTTATGCAGTGTAAAAGTTTCTTCTTAATTCTAGGGAGAACAGGTAAGTCACTGCTGAATACCATAACTGAACTAGAGCTTCTAAAGGAGGGTTTGTGGCCCTTTAATTGGGATACTTCACAATGGCTTGTGAAGTTTATTGCTTGCAACATGTTTTTCTGTCACTGAGTGTTAACTTTTTCATAGTGCTGCTCTAAAATGTTTGTAATGGTCAGATAAGTTAGATCTGTAGATCTTGCACCTCTGTAGCCACTTCAAGTGCATTTTTAGCTGTTTGCTCTTACACTTAATTTGTCTAAACTTCCTGTGTGTGGCTTAGGCCAGGCACTCTATTTTCAAAAGGTAGCAAAAGCTATGCAGCTTTCGTTTGTCCTTAAGCTTTCTACACAAGCGGTTGACACAGTAGCATCAATCTTTTCACCCTGGGGTAACAACAGTGACTCAAGAGAAGACGAGGAGGTGTGCAAGGGGAATGAACTGTTGCATGATGAAAAGCGGTGACTTGTTAGCAGCTTAGGAGAACTATGGGAATTCCATGTATGAAGTAACATGATGAGCTACAACTTTTAAGCAACTGCTCTCCATTTTATTTTTGGCATGTGCTGTCTTGCAGGCCTCTGTTCTTTATCTCCTTGTACCTGCTACCTTCTGTGGAACTGATCTTCTCCCTTCCTCTTCAGTCCTACTTCTGTTCCTTTTGTGGTATCTTGTTAAACGAAATTTACTGTGTGGTAAAACATGGAAATATTCTGCAGATTCCTTGCCTTTGACAGCTCTACTATTTATAAACTCCAAGGTACTTAATTACTTGTCTTCAATTCTGCCAGTTTTTGCTTAGATTTAAGTCTTGCAGCAGAGAAATTACTTTTCTTCTTTTGACAGGTAACACTTAAATTCTTCTTTACCTTTGACAAAGTTATAAGCACTACTTTCCCATGCCTGTGTTCCTGTATTAGATCGTGCTCTGATACTATATTTTGATTGTACCTTACATTGGTTCTGCACTTCAGTTTCTTGTGCTCTTGCCTTCACAGGACTTTCTGGATTGTTGTGCCTCCATCAGTCAATTATGTTTGAAGAAGTTTCCTCTTCGTGCTCTTGCAAGTGGTTTCTTTCTTAAAGGCCACTGGAAGTTTTATTACTGTTTTGAATTTCATCTTGTGCCATTTTCCCTTTATCTAGTGGTGGATTAGGACTATCTAAAATTGTCTTTTTAATATGGAACGGCTTATTTTGTGCCTGCACCTTGTTTTTATTTCTCTTACCTAGCAGGTGTGTGTGGCTTTTTGCTTTGTGTGATTTCCTGTGGTTCCATAGTAAGTGTAGTGTTCAAGGAGTAAAGCAGTAACTGTACATCCAGCCACATTTGCAGAGCTTATCTGGCAGCTTCTGAAGTATACCACAGTGAGTACTTGCTGTCTGAAAAGATGCTGTTCAGTTCATATGCTCTTCTCAACAATTGTTTAGATTATGGTGATTGCTGAAATTAAGTCTTGCATCTATCTTATTCTTAGAATTCCTATGGTACTTCTGAACTGCTAGTTAGTGTTCTATGGATGAACTATATGTTTGGCACTTTAGTTAGAATCCCTTTTTGACAAAAATGAGATGGAACTTGAGGCTTGAGTCCTGCACAGAGCCCCGTGGCAGGATCATTTATGCCTTAAATTTGTGTAGGACATGAGGAACTGTAGGAATCCTCTAAGCTGCTTCAAACCTTATCTGGCATGACTGTTTACTTTGTGGTAGTGTTTGAGCCTCTGTGAGGAATGTGAGTGCTGTTGGAGACAGTTCATGTCTTGTGGAACTTAATAAATATTAGTCAGAGAAGTTCTTTACATCTTACTTGTATTAATTACAGAAAGTCACATGTGGGTATTTACTAGAATTGAGTAGCTTGTGAATGTAATTTGACCTGGTTTTGGTTTGTACCTCTTAATGGGTGGGAGTATTGTAATATCCAAATTAGATCAGAGCCACAGGCCTTTTCCAGCTAATGGGGGATACAGTACTTCCATGGTCTGTGATGGGTTGACAGAGGATTGTCAGACAGTGTATGTTAAGTCCCAAGGTTCATCATGAGGAGATCGGCCCCTCACAGATGTTTAGTCTGATTGAATAAGGGTTTATATTTAGGTGACTTGTGCACATCACCTCTGACAGAGCATGTGAGACTGTCAGAGTGTTGTTTAAGTTTTGCACTATCATAAACAAATCTTGGTTTTGTGGAGGACCCTCTGTCTTCATACAACTACCTTTTTGTTTTCTTGTGTTACCTATGTGGATTTGGTCATTGGGTTGGGGATTGAAAGAAAAGGAGGGAATGCACCAAGGACACAATTATGCTAGTGAGAACAAGTTGCTTCAATACTTATTTTCCAGATAATATTTAACCAATACTGAGAGAGAAACTCCACTAGTAATTTGCCAACATTCTTTAGTGGCCTTTAGTTCTGTAATTTTCATTCCATGATAAGTCTGTCATGTATTTTGAATCTTAACTGTATTTAACAGTTCATTGAAATGGCAAAACATGAATTAACATGAGCAATACTTAATGTTATGCAGGACCTGAAGTAGTCTCAGGTGTTTTAGCATTTAACACTCTTAGCATTTAACATTCACTATGCTGCTGAGGGTCCCAACACCGGGCTTGTGCATTCTTAAACTACTTATGCTTTAACGAAGCCGAAGTGTTTTTTGTTTGCATCTACTATGGGACATACCTGTTCCTGTCATGGTCATTCTCTGCCTTTACAAACTTGTGTTGTGGCTATAGCTGATGCTGTCAGGGGAGTGTGAGGATACCTCTTCTACTGTTGCATCCTTGACTGACTGCCTTTCCAAAACTCTTCAACCAATGTGAGAAGCAGACATTCTGGAAAAACTAAAATGCCTCTTCCTTGTTGTGCATTTTCCTCACCACGCTTAATGCATTCCTTGTGTTGGAGTCTGCAATCTCATTAGGTAGGCTTTCTCCTTCCTAGTAATAATTGCTTTTCTGAGTTGTGGAGTTATTTTATCTGCAGACAAACTTCTTTCTCACTGAATCCAAACTACAGTGGAAGAATTAGTGTTTTGTAGTTGCTACAAAAATTAGGGTTTTTTTCTTCTCTGTCGTAGATACATTCAAGTATTCAAGTTTTGGTCTCTTTGTTTATCCTAGTAAGTGAAAGTCCGAAAACTAAAACACATGTCACAGGCTACTAGGAACAGGGGAGTGAAAGAGGGCCATCTTGTTTGTACCACAGGCCACTTCACTTGCAGGTGTCACAATCTCTGTTGCAGATTCAGGTCGGGCAGAAGCAGTTTTATAGTTACATGAGAAAGAACACAGAGCAACAGAAGTTCAGCCCTCTCTTGATGCAAACTGACCAAAAAGAAAGTAGTAGGGTGTGTATACACATAGAGGAGATACGCACTGCTCTCTGAAGTGGCCAGATACAGCAGACCAGCGTCTGCGTAGAAGGCAACTTTGTTCCAGCAGATGTACCTGTGTGTGCCTGATAACTGCAGCCTGATAGTCTGATACTGATAGTCTGCAGCCACGTGGCTTCAGTATACCTCTGATCAGCTTGTCCACCTCTCACTTGTGACGCTGCTGTACCCCAACCAGCTTTTATGCTTATTAAGGTCTGCATCCACACAGCTTACAGATTCCCTGCCAAAAAACATACGTAAATGTTTAAGAATCCAGTCTTCACTGGTATTGAAAGGCAGCATGCAAAACTTATGATCAATCTTGTTTTGCTTTATCAGAACAGTCTGTTTCACCAAAGAGATTATGATCTAGTAATCTAGGGAACAGTTAGCTGCCTTTTATTGTGTTGGGTTTGTGTGGCAGGGTTTTGGTAGTGGGGGAGCTGCAGGAGTGGCTTCTGTGAGAAGCTGCTAGAAGCTTCACCTATGTCCAACGGAGCCAATGCCAGCCGGCTCCAAGATGGACCTGCTGCTGGCCAAGGCTGAGCCCATCAGTGATGGTGGTGGTGCTTCTGGGATAACATATTTAAGAAAGGGGGAAGAAAAATACTGGACTGTAATTGCAGCTGAAGAAAGGAGTGAGAATATGTGAGAGCAACAACTCTGCAACCACTGAAGTCAGTGAAGAAGGAGGGGGAGAAGGTGCTCCAGGTGCTAGAGCAGAGATTCCCCTGCAGCCCGTGGTGAAGACCACGGCAAGGCAGGCTGTCCATTTGCAACCCATGGAGGTCAACGGTGGAGCAGATATCCACCTGCAGGCTGTGGAGGACTCCATGCCAGAGCAGGTGGAGATGTCCTAAAGGAGGCTGTAACCCTGTGGGAAGCCCGTCCTGGAGCAGACTGCTGGCAGGGCTTGTGGACCCATGGAGAGAGGAACCCATGTTGGAGCAGGTTTGCTGGCAAGACTTCTTGTAACCCTGTGGGAAGCCCACACTTGGAGCAGTCTGTTCCTGAAGGACAGCACCCTGTAGAAGGGACCCAGGCTGGAGCAGTTAGTGCTGGAGCAGGGGAAGAGTGTGAGGAGTCCTTCCCCTGAGGAGGAAGAAGTGGTAGGAACTATGTGTGATGAACTGACCACAACCCCCTGTGCTGCTTCTGGGGAGGACAGAGAGAAAATCAGGAGTGAAGTTGAGCCTGGGAAGAAGGGAGAAGTGGGGGGCAGGTGTTTTAAGATTTGGGTTTAGTTTTCATTATCCTACTCTGATTGGTTTGGCAATAAATTAAATTTCCCCAAGTCAAGTCTGTTTTGTCTGTGACTGTAATTGCTGAATGATCTCTCCCTGTCCATATGTTGACCCATGAGTCTTTTGTTATGTTTTTTCTCCCCTGTCCAGCTGGGAAGGGGAATGATGAATTGGCTTTGGTGGGCACCTGGCATCCAGCCAGGGTCAACCCACCACAGTTTCTTTGCTGCTAAGGTAATTTTGTTTCTGGTTTGTTGCTGCATTAACGTTTTATTTCATGAATCTGTGTTTCACTAGGTGGTTGAATTATTAATTCACTTTTATGAAGCAAAACCAAGTGGGAACAGATTGATGTGAATTTCAGTGCTGCATTTCTTCCTGGCTTTTAAAAAATAGACTGCGAAAATGGTGGTGTTTAGCTAATGAATAGATGTTTTTCTACTCTTGTGAGCATAGAGATGTCTGGAGGAAAATTGCTTAGCATTAGAGCATTATTTAACTGAAGGTAATGGTTTGTGTGCTCACATTGTTGCTGTCATTCTTTATTCTTTCCTATCTTTAGCTGTTAGTAACACAAGGTAATTATGCACTGTTGTAGAATTTTGTGTTGTGTGCCAACTAGTTTATTTTGTGAGTTTAATTGTTTTTTTAAATTAATTTGCTGGAATGATGTTTAGTATTAGTTATGGTCCTTAAGTGCAGCTGTTCTCTGGCAAGGTTGATAATGCCAACCATTTACCCAGTGAAAAGTTTTTCACATCTAATTAAACTTCTGATTTTGTTCAGGTATTTATTCTGCAGAATGAGCATTCCTATCTTATTTGCTACTTTTCCCATGACTTCTCACTAAAAAGCCTTGAAGTAGCCTGATATCATCAGGAAAGTTGACTAAATATTGGTGTCATAACGTACTTCCCTGTTTAGCTTAACTGAAGCCTTAAAAAGTACACTGAGTTTTCCATATGGATCACAAACCAGAAACCCTCCATGCAATCTCCTGATTTGTTTGCATGTTCTGCTCTTATTACATGCCAGAAACATCACTATGTAAATGTTAACATGAAAAGTAAGACCTTATTCCTGATTTTTAGTTAGAGATTATATCTTGAAATGTGTAGGAATGCTTACTGGTGTGAAATATATGCATTTTTTCACCTTCCTGCCTTTTAAAGCCATCCCAGTTACCAGTCTGACATGAAACACTCCACTAAAAACAGAGTACCTTGTGTTCAAGTCTTACTAAAATAGCTCTGAAATCTTCAGAATAAAGTTCAAGGAATTCAAGGACAAGGTCACATGTTTTAGGAGACTTGTGTTGATTTTGCAGTTTAGCAGGTATGTTTTAATTAACATTCACAAACATTCTGAAGCTTTTTCAGTTGTAACAAGCATACAGATTTTTCTCCTGCAAAACAGCAAGCTTGAGCTGGCTGTGTTCTGTTGTTGACATACCAAACTGCACTTTTTCAGCAATGTGTATATGGTGAGATCCATGCTCCTAATAATGTTGCATTTTAATTTAGAGAAATGCAAAAAGCAAACCTGAATTGAGTGGTGTTGCTAGTGCGAAGTCAATATCTGAAAGTGTTCCTAAAGGAATGGGTGTGAGGGCTGCCTTATTTTGCTCTTTAATTCTGTGTTTCTGTTTCAAGTTGCTGCTTAACCTCAGTGTTACAGCATTGAAGAGATAAAGGTTCTTTGTTCTCAGGCTATTGTATTAGGTGGTTCTTTATATTAAAAAAAGTTGATATAATTAGTGATCTGCATGTTTTCTTGCTTGAAGCTGGTGAGTGTAAACAACAAATAGCATTTGATGCAGTCAAATAAAGGACTATGCTCATCACTAGTTGTAGTAAGAAATCATGGTAAGCTCAATGTAAATTTCTGCCTTAATTCATTTGGCTTCAGCAGTGTTACCACCTGAGCTACATGATGAAGTCATGTCTTTCCAAAGGTGCAAAGAATTTCGAAATAGTGTTTACTTGGCCATTTTGTCTACCTCCTTATGCAAGATTTTTCAAGGCTGAAGTTTTTAGTTCTTTGTCTAGTGAGACTCTCAAACTTCCTTATAGTGATTTCAATTTCTCTTCACACCTTGGGTCATTATTATTGTTAGGACACTGATTATGCCATTCTGCATAAATAATGCTTAATGTCCTAGCGTTCAGGACAGCTGTTCTTACCTAAAATCTTCCTCCCAATCCTTCTAACTTCAATAATCTTTTAATCAATTCCTCCAGGCTCCTTCATGTTTACTAGCAAGCAGCAAGGAATCAAAACATAATGTTCTCTCTTGATGTTTCAAAATTTGAGTGCAGTATCCTAGGTCTGCTCTTTCAAGCAGCATTGTGAAACTTTGTAGTAATACAGAAGTATTTCTTTGATAGTACCTCTGCATTCCTTAAACATGAATCATAGAGTTGTGATGACATTTGTACATTCTGGAGATACTATGTTACTGACCTAAGTTAGAGATAACTAAACCAAATTCTGTAGGGGAGGCTTGTTCTTGTTTTGCCAATTAAAGTGCAGGCCTGTGTGATTATACTCAAGTGTGTTGGCTTGCACTGGGGCTCTTCAGTCATCTTCTGGAGTGTCTTTGTCCTGCTACATAGCAGATGTCCTAGAAACAAAAAAATAAGTGGCCTTAAAATAGTAAATTGGCATAATATGCGTGATTAGGTAGAGATGAAGGGAATGGACCCAAATACAAAAAAAACCACCCCAACCCAAATGCTGGGAGGTTATTTTTCAAAAAGGCTGCTCTTTGTGCACAACTGTATGAGAGTGATTAATGCCTTGCTTACTATGGGAATTTTGGAAGTGAATTTGTGGAGGAATGATTTAAATGGGGAAGGAGATTCTTCTCTTCATATGGAATCCAGAAATTGGGCGGCATCTGGGCCAGATAGTAACATGCCAGAGTTACATCATTTGACATTTCAACAAATGGTCTTTGTTTTAAGCATTATGATATCCTCCATTAAGGATGTTAATGCATCCTCATTAGGCTTTCAAACTGATACCTACAGTGAATATTTATCAGTAAGAGCAGGGGCTAGAGGAATGAGTTAAACATTGAAGGCATCTGTACAAAATCCCCAGAGATGGTTCTCTTGTGACTGATGTAAATGAGTAACTGTTCAAATACAATGTCTATTCTGAAAACATTGAAGTGTCAGATAACAAGCCTCAGATGGAAGAAATGAAACATTATTCATGGTGGTGGGTTTAGCCTGTGACCTGGGTTTTAGACTTATGGCTTGAATGGTTCTATTTCACAGTATTAACTGCAATGTGTTTCATTTCAGTTATGCAAAAGGAGACTTGGATATATCATACATCACCTCCCGAATTGCTGGTATGATAGCTATGTCTCTCAAGAATAATTTCTGATTGTTCTTAATACATGAAAACTGTGAATACTTCACCTGGTGTTTGTTCTGTCTTCAGTGATGTCCTTTCCAGCTGAAGGTGTAGAATCTGCTATCAAAAATAACATAGAAGACGTGCGGTTATGTCTGGACTCTAAACATCCTGGCCACTATGCTGTGTACAATCTCTCTCCAAGAACATACAGGCCTTCAAGATTCCATAATAGGGTGTGTATAGTTTTTGTGTATTTCCGTAAAAGGTCTTTCAACACAATATCTTGATTATACCTTCAGCTTTTCATTGTGAAATATGTTAAAGTAGGCTGTATAATCAAAAAGATGACAAAAGTATAAACATAAGGTGAAAGACCTAACCTATGTTCTGCTTATCTTTGCTTTCAATCCAAATTTAGCTGATGCAAGACTAGTCTTACTGACTAAAGTCTGTGTTTCCTAGGCTAGTGATATCTTTTGCAAACACGTACAGATACCTTACATGTCTCAGATATAAATGGAAAATACTTAATGTAATTAAAAATCTTACTAAAATTTCATTCTCCTACATTCAGAGGTTTTCCTTAACAGAGATAGTATTCCTTTGGCAACTGATTTGCACAACCTGTTCACTGGACTTTCTTCTTGTACTACTACATACCATTTGACTCCCATATGGCTTAGTCCTACCTGCCTGCATGTTGCTACTGCCTGAAATACTGGTGTAGCTTAGCTGAGCCTCCATTAGCCTTTCTGGCTGTTTCTCTGATACTAAAATGATGACACTTGCCTAATTCGGTAACCAAGGTGGTGAGGACAGGTTGTTAGGTGCTGAGATACTGGACTTCAGTGTCTGGTCCTTAATATACCTCAACTATCCTGTAAGTAGCTCAACAGTGGAGGCCATTACTGTGTTGTGAGTTGTCTAGCACTGGCTATGTTAAACCTAACCTAAACAGTCTGTAGTGATCATACCCCTTCCCCACAATACTGACAGCCTAGAGGAGAGTCTAGAAGTGTTTATTTGTTACAGGAAGCCCCTTTTGGGCCTTATCCTCCAGAGCCATCCTTAGCATTACTTCAGTTATCCAAGTTCACTTAACCTGTCAGGCTGAGGTATGTTTAATGTATTCTGTCCAGTACTTGTCACTTCTTCCTTTTGTTTCCTTGCAAACTTGTAGACAAGACAAAGTATTGTCACACCCGAAAAAATTATTACCTCTTTGGGTGGAGGCAATTAACTTCTTTATCTGCATCTGGTTCAGTATGACGTTCAGGCAGAGGCTGTTCAACATGGAAGGCAAAGCTTAATCATGCAGGAAACCTCCTGCATGATTATTTGGAGCAGGTACCTCAAAGCAAAATCTTCAGCAATGCTTTTTAGTGATAGATTGCTGGAAAGTCCCCTGAGGCTGACATAGCAAGCTGCTTTATTCCTCATCTTACAAAGCTATCAATTTCTGTTTATGGAAAAATTCTGTGACTGGGAAATTTTTTACCGTGGGTATGGTTTTTTGGTTATGCAAGTCTGAGGTTCCTGTACACTGATACTCCTGATGTATTGGTACTGTGAATGATAATATGAGCAGAGGTAAATCTACTGGTCATCTGGAACTCTTTTGGTCTACGTTATCCTTTTGATGCTTGTTTTGTCTTATGATCTTTGTTTTTTCCTGGGAAACAAAGTTTGATCACAATTTGTAAAACATTGTAGGTTCCTGCCCACTTCATTGGCTGCAAGTATTTAGGAAGTTTCTACAAAACACTGTCTTCTGTTTAAAAACAAAAAAAAAGCAGCTGTTTTACTTGAAAAACAAACTATAACTATGTTGGGTAAATATTTCCTGTCCATCTTTGAAACCCAGATGCACAATGAGCAATACTGACCAACTTAACTTCATTATTCAGTGCTGTGTGAGAGCAGCCATGTAGGACGCTAAGGAATCTTACTCTTTCTGTAGTGTCTGCGAAGGATGATTGTGGCAAGCCTTAAACTTTATCAGGGAACAGCTTCTGATGTTCTTAATTATGATGCTTTGCTTAGTAGGTGTTTATGAAATTATGTATTCTTGCTTTCTTGCTACATGCTATGTGTATGGAACTTTTGCAAATGTCATTAACCTTGGTTAAAGTTAATGGTAGTTTTGGAGTCTTTTCCGCTAGTTTGGAGTCATTCTTGGAATACATTGCTCAGAAGTTGTGCACTTTCCATCATTCTGCTAATGATCAGAACAATTTGAGCTTAAAACATAGCCAGATGCAAAGAAGATGATGTTGTATGGTATACATCTTGTAACAAAACTCGTGTTTGAGCAGAAAGTAAATGGTAAATCAGAAAGTCAGTTCTTTCTGCTTTTTTGAATACATCTGCTTTCTTAGGCTGTTTTCTGGTTTGTAGCTGTAACGCTGCAATATGATTCTTTCACTGCTGTTGTAATATTTGAGATATACTTAAGCCCACATTGAATCCTGTGTTGAACAGGAATATAAAGGACTGCTTGCCTTAGCTTTTATTTGTTCAGTGGTGACTTTTTGTAAGCTTTCACTAACAAAAGAATGTTCAATTTAAATCTCTCAAAGTAGTGCTTTCTGAAACTGCCCTCTCTGATTAAAATACTTGAATACAGTGAAAAGCAGCAGGAGACTTTTGTATGTCAGAGTGTTTCTTTCAGCGTGTTTTCCTGAGCTTGGTAGAAAAATGAACTCACTGAGAATTTTTTGTGATGCTCAGTTCAGGTAATTAATCTGAGTAACCCTTGTACTCATTTATGTTAAGAAACTGATAGCTGTAGTTGCTGATAACAAAACTTGGTCTTCCACATTCAATTGTGGTCCTGGCTAAAAAGAAAGAAGAAAAAAAAGCTTGCTTTGTAAGTTGTTTCCTTAGTCCTGGCAGAACATCTACTCTTTAGGTATTGCAAGTGTTCAGGGATCAGGGTTTGTATACTGCACTCTGAATGGACAGCTGATTTTAAGAGCATAGACTCTCAGCAGTAAAGCTGATTATTTGGTAGTGGTTTGTAGCACTAACTGCAGAAGGAATATTACTTAACTGTTGACACTCTCTGAATAAAGGACAAATGTAAAAGCAAACAAAGTCTTTCTGGTTTTGTTTTTGCTTAAGAATATGTGCATCAATCAAGTTGAAAGGTCTCTAACTTTATTTCTTACTATCTGAAATTTTCTTAGTCTGAGTTGTTGATACTTCTAGTGTAGCAGACTATAGACAGGACAGGAGTTTTATTGCACTTCATCCTATATAGTCGTGCTGACAGCGTTTGTAACTACTTTTCTTGAGCATCTTGCTTAATTTCTACCTGAAGGTGTCATTACAGTGTAAAATTGCCTCTTATATACACATATTAAGCTATGCAAATGTATGTGATTATGTAATCTTGTTTCTCACCTCTGCTGTCTCTGTTGCAGGTTTCTGAATGTGGCTGGCCAGCAAGACGAGCACCAAATCTTCAGAATCTTTATAGCATATGCAAGAACATGCATTTATGGCTGAAACAAGACCAGAAGAATGTTTGTGTTGTGCACTGCCTTGTAAGAAATTGGTTTAAGTCTGAAGTGCTTTGCTCAATCCAACTTTAAATTATGAATAAGGATACTAGTATCCGCTCAGTTTGTGAATATTACTGGCTTCACTGTGAGAGCTGGGGGCAATTCCATCCTGCTGTCTTTAGGAAAGTTATTTGCATACATTTTCTCCTTAGGCAAATCAGTAGGGTAATGTAGCTCTTGCCTTCCATGCTGCATGGAAGTAGGCAGTATATAGGAGGGATTAAGGCAAAGTAGCCTTTGGGAGACAGAATCTTCTCTACTATTTCAGTGTTTACTCTAATTTTTGTTCATGTTTCTGAGTGACAGCTGAATGTACGCTGCTTTTCCCACTACTGTTCATTTAGAATGTAATCTTTATCTGCAGAATTGCAGAAACTAAGTGAGCTAATTAAGTGAGGTCATTGGTGATGTCAAGATTGGAGGCAGCCTGGGTTGCAGTGATAACGCAACGGTCGAGTTTGCAGTCCTGAGAGGTATGGGGCAGGCAAAGAGTAAAGTCAGGACCCTGAATTTTAGGAAAGCAAGCTTCCAACTCTTCAAGGGAGTTAGTCAAGAGGACCCCCTAGGAACTGCCCTCAGGGACAAGGGAGCAGGACAGATCTGGCAGATCTTTAAGGATGTTTTCCACAGAGCGCAAGAGCTCTCGATCCTCAGGTGTAAGAAATCAGGAAAAGAAGGCAAGAGGCCAGCATTAATGACTCAAGACCTGCTGGTCAAACTAAAGGG